GAACAGAAGCAAGCCAGATTTCAATGAGTTCATCTATGGGGAAACCTTTCTCTGAAGGCTATTACTTAATACAAAACCAGCTGTCCTTGCCTTTGGGTGCTCAAGCTGCCTTACCCCGAGTTAGTCTGCACTGAGAGAAATGTGTCTGGTCTAAGAAAACCAGAGAATCAAGCTACTGCAAGGAGCGCTCAGGCCTCTGGAGTTCTGCAGGTGCCTTGCTAAGTGTCCATTCACTCTCCAGAAGGCACAACCTCACCACACTTCCTGCAACCCATCCTGACCTTGGCCATAGGGAATCCTGGGCTTTGGCATCTGCCACCTTTAGCGGCCTTGATCCCCTTCCGATAGTGCACCTGTTGCTGAGTTGTGCTGACTTGACCATCCCCGACTCTACCTTCTTTGGTCCGGGAATGGCTGTTACTACCCCTCCTTCTTTGGCCCCCCTCAAAGAACCAGCTCCTTCCCTTGAACCCAGCCAGCGGCTGGTGCCTGCTCCCTACTAACGGGATGGCAGGCTCAAGTCAATTTCCCTCCCTTACGATGAGATCCAGCTCTTTGAAAGAGACCATATTTGAATTCCCTCCTCTAAGTGGAACCTCTCACCTAAAGGAAGCACTGTCTGGAGTGTTTGTGCATGGACACATCTCTCCACACTGCTAAACACAGAAGAGCATTTTCACCCCCTGGGCGGTGAGACTAGGAGGCAAGGGCCCCATGTAGCTCTTCTCAACATTGAGTCGGCTGTGTGTCCGAATCGCTAGGTGGAGAGCAGGGGGAAGCGCCCATCATAACCTCCAATGCAGTTGGTCTAGGATGGATCCTGAGCATCTGATGTTCTGAAAAGCATCCCCGGTGACTTTAATGTGGGTGGAGAGCCCCTGATTTAGGGAGAAAATGGCAAAGACGTTCAGGCGAGACTCCCCAGTGTATCCAGATGGAGAACATCCAATTTAAAAGCCGGTCCTACCCAGATCCCTGCTCCCTGCCCACCCCTACCCCCCACTGCAAGATAATCTCTGCAGCCTACAGAGTATGCACTGGGACAGCATGTTGAACTCTGGGGCCACGCTTCATTTAGACAGTGCCTCTGCAACCCGCCTGAGCCTCGGATCCCCCCCTATTAGGAAAAGGGATCCTCTAGATACATTTGTTTTCCATCTCCTCCCCTCTTCATCTCTCATTTAAATGCAGCCCTGGTTATATACTTGCCTTTCTGCTTCTCCAGAAAATGCTTTTTGTGTTGCCTTGAAATGAGATTTGGGCAGTGCCTGCCCTCTAAGTAAATAACAGCACAAAAACTATAAGCTCTATGATGCCATCAGGGGATGTAACACTAATGATATGATATTCCATAAGGCACAAAAGACTCCATTCGCGGGACGAAAACCAGCCATTCTGCTGGGGAAACTCACATGGAATCAGACAGATCCTGCCCCCTGAATGCCAGAGTCAGACCAGCAGCTCTCCGTTACATAGCGACTGTCCACCATGATGCTTCTCACTTGTTATTCCTCAGAGCCTGGTTTCCTATTGACTTATCAAGTAGAAAATTCATTTTAGAACTATTTTCAGAGCAAGTATGAAGACATCCTTAAGGATAAATTAGCTACATTACTTCAATTCAATGAAAGACATAAATCTCTCACCCTGCAATGAGCTCAGCACATCGGAGGACAAGCCATCCTCAGACGGGCCGACTTAGATGAAAAACGGCACAGAAATACACAAATGACTGGGGTATATAGCAGAATATGGAATAAAGCAGGTCTCTTTGGGACCTCATCTACAATGACTTAGCTATGGAAAGTACCACGAAGTTTTTTTGTTCTTTCTTGTTTCAGAAAGTTTTAACATCCAGCAAGCCCAGATCACAACCACGTTCCAGACCCAGCTAGGCAACTGGCCATCCCCACCTGGCCCTCCCAAGACCCTCAAACTCAGTGTGTCTAAACCAGAACTCAGCACCTGCCCTCCAGTGCTTGCATTCCTGATCTCAGTTAAGGAGTTGTTATCTACCTCGGTTATCCAATCAGAAACCTGATGGTTATCTTAGAACATTATCTCTTCTCAACCCTCTCCCCACTTCTTCCAAACCCCTAAGTCCTGGATGTTCCATGTTGTGTACACCGTCATCTTTGTCTCTCCCATCCCAGCTCACAGCTCCTGTTTCTACATGTTGCTTCCCAGACTCCTCCGACAGCCTCCTAACAGTTCCCTGCACTGAGTCTCTCCCCCTCCAATCCCTCCTGCATTCCGCCACAATAATCTTAATGAAACAATCCTGATCATGTCGCTCGTCCATTAAAACCCTTCAGTGGCTGACTGTCTACGGAATGATGTTTGAAGTCCAAAGTGGGGTATGCAATCCCCCCCAGTGCAACCTCTCCAACCTCAGGTCTCCGTGCCTCACCTTGAACCGTCTGCCCCAGTCAAATGAGCCACTTTCCAGCACACCAGCCTGTCTCCCATACCCTGACCTCTGCTGGGGCAGCTCCCTCCTGGTTGGAATAGCCCCCTGTCTTTCTGCCCCCAGCAAAATATACTCTTTGTCTGGACCCACCTCCTCCACAAAACCTTTGCTCGCACCCCTCCCCAAAGGAAGAACTGGGCAGCTCGCACCTTGAGCCCCTGGCCAGACCTTCTCTCAAGGAATCTACATTATCACACTTATTTATAACCCAGCTGTAAGCTCCTGGAAGGCCAGAATTGCATCTTATCTTTCCCACCTTGGTGCCTAGCAGTGCCACCTGACACATAGGAATTTAATAAATATTGGTTAAATGTTTGAATGTTGCAATGATGGCATTCTAACAGTTCCAAAACTGATTTCTTTACCACTCATACGCTTTGCTTTTGGCTGCTTATGATGCAGAACTGCCTCTTGTAAATAATTTGCAGAGAACAAAAAAAAAAAAAATCAGCACGGGAGATTTATCACCTTCTTACCCCTTGAGAAATCACTTCTTTTTTCTTTATTCCTGAAAGAAGGGTCACACTTCAAGGCACTTCAAGAGCTGATAATAAGAAATGACCAAAATGAATTACTCCAAATTCCTGCCCTCCCTGCAGTTCAATGTCCTCTTCCTGGAAGTGATTATTGACGTAGGCACTGGGTTGAGACACTAATTAAAGCAGAATGACCATGGCATAAACCAAGACTGGCTTCTGAAGTCTGTATCTGTGCCCCCTGCCCACGTAGATGCAGAATAACTATGAGAATAAAAACTGACTTCCCTGGTTTTGTGGCTTCTAAGCCTATGAGGGAGTCACCTAAAAATAAAGGTGCCATTCTCAATTCAGCGGTGGGCAGCCCCTGTGCCCACGGCCAAAGCTCTGGAAGGTTCTGGGCCCACTCAGAATTCCATCTGAAATGTCAAATATCTGCAATGTGGCTGCAAGACCCAGCAAACACCCTCTTCCCCGAGTGTTGATTTCACATTGGAAAATGAGCAATTTAAATAAAGGTTTCATTAACGTGGTGTTTTCCTGCTTGATGCTAATGTACTTAGAGTAATTTGTTTTCCCAAGTTCTCTTCCATAGGATCATTTCATGCAATCCTCCCCAGGACGATCTGAAACTCCTTGCGTCCCTAACAGACAATCCAGAGAACCTAGAAACCTACCAAACAACCAAACCACCAAACAAATAAGCAAAAACCCTTCCGCTGAAAAGCTGTCGAGACCCATTTGTTCTGGAACACAGATCACATACAACGCAGAACAGAACAGACCATCCTGACCACGCTGGTGGCCCTGGGTTTGTACCAACGGCAACACAGCATCCTTCAGCAGGCACTACGGGTCCCAGAGAGACAAGTGGGAGAGGCGGGTTATTCAGGAAGAATGTGAGTATGTAACATTTTGTTTTGAGCCCCTAGAAGGCTTGTTCCCACTCTGCTTTGCTTATCTGTACGTGGATTCTTGCTGTGTGCTGACTCCAAACCCCAAAAATTTCAAGGATATTTCTAACATCCTTTATTAATAGAAGCTCTTAAGAATTTCATAACATAACGCTCAGATACACTCTCCAAACATGCAAAAGCAGGTACCCTCTAAGGGTTTGTTCCCCCAACCCTGTGAGACACGGGGGATCATGTTAACACAGGGAGCAGGCTGGACAGCACACCATTAAGACATCATCTTTTGGGGGGATCCAGCCACATCAGAATGGCTCTGTGTGTGCCATCATGCTGCGGGCGGGATTTTGATTCGGTTCTATCACACATGGCGAACAAAATTAAAACCAACGAAGAGGTGAAGCACTTGAATGGTGCACTCTGCAGAACTTGCTGGATGCCAGGAGCCATGTGTGTGGCAGGAAGCAGAAGACCCATTAAAGAGTATGTAAATGACTCTGGTGGCGTTGGCACTCGAGGCCCTCCCATCTAGGAGCCACAAGGCACTGGACAAGTGACTTTATTCTGAGCTTTATCTCCTGCTTATAAAATAAAGCCATGACAACAAGAAAACAGAAACAGTACAAGCAGCAGGGGCAACACCGGCTACCCTCTACTGAGCACTCACGGCGTAGCAGGTGCCGTGGAAAGCACCCTATAAACACTTGTTAAGCACCATCTCCCTTACTCCTGAGGGCCCCTGCGAGGGAGAGATGCTTAACTCCAGTTCATGGAGAAGGCTCAGGGTTCAGTGACCAGCCCAAGGTCACTGAGCTAGAGTGAGTTCAAAACCAAGTCTTTCTGACCAGAGTGTTCGTTGGAGATCGTGACTCCAATGACTGCCACAAAAGGTGTGAGATGATATATATATATGTACATATATATATATATGTACATATATATATACACACACACATATATATGCAAAATGCTCTGAACGCACCACAAGAACATCAGTCATTGGTAATGCCCGTCCCTCCCAGCATTCGGATCTGCCTCGTTGACCTCTGGGCACCCAGTTCCTGGTGGCCTCTCCTTCCCCCAGATGGGGACCCACCAATCCGAAGGTGGTGGGGAAAGAGGCCATCCCCCAGGGGCACTTACTTTCTCAGAACAGCTATCTCGTTCTCTATGCTGCTCTCCTTGCCCTTCAGCGCCTTCTTAGGGATGCACTTCACCGCAAAGAGTCTTCCACTGGCCTTCTCTTCAGCCAAGACCACTTCAGAAAATGCCCCTCTGTGAACAAAGAAGGAGAAAAAGAAGCGGATTAGATTCAGGAGTTCCACAGGGTTCCCCGGTGGCTCCTCCAATCCTGTTACCAAGGTCGAAGGAATAATAACAACAATGGCCAGCATTACTGTTACTTTTTTAGCCAGCATCGCTCCCTACTGGACTTCTTCATGCAAACAAGTACACACACGCAAAGATGCCCTCGTGCAAAGGGCCATGGGGATGTCCACCTGGGTTGGAGCCACTCCCACCACCACCTGCCACCCTGCAGAACAACGCAGTGGCAGTCGCCTCGGAGCAAACAGGGATGCTCCCAGAATGGTTTCTGCAGAGAAAGTTCGCGTCCATCTCGGTAGCCAGCACCCCACCCCCAAGTCAACTAGAAAGTAATGCTCGAATTTCTAGATTCCTCACAGTTCCCTCCATTCCAAGAAAATTTTGGAGCCTGTCGCAAACGTTATTTAATTCTCACCGACAGGTAAGTGTGTAACTGAAGTGCAAGTTGGTGCGACACGTGGTATCGACATGGGGCTAATTAATTGGTCGGGACACGCAAGCTGTTTTTCAATACAAACAAAGGCATACGTGATGCCCTGAGTGGGGGAGACTATTCTGCCTGAAAATGTGAATTGAACTCTGCAAAGGCAGAACAACACACTGAAAATACAACCAGGACATTTGGGGTCAGAGAGCTCATTTCTCCAGAGAAGACCCCTGTAGTCAGCAAGCCCCAGAGCCAGCACCTCAGTGGCCGCCATGTTCCCCAACCCTGTCACCTCCTCTATCTGCCAGCAGGCAGGGCCTGGGTCCCATGATCGGCCTGGGGGGCAGAATGTCCCCCAGAAGTAGGCTCCTCCACTGCCCACTCCAGGCCCCAGGAACTTGGGCTCTGTGCACACAGGCTAAGGAAAATCCATGGTCCACTGAGTCATTCCCTGCCTCTAGACTTCAACGAGCAACTCTTTTTTCCTCAGAGAGACACTACACATGGCTTCTACACAATTATAATTAGAGACAAACCCTCCTGCATCAAAAAAAACCACTAGAAGGACCAAGATCATCTCAATACCGGAGCCTCAGGGTCTCTGTTCTTCAGTCAACATCAAAGAGATGCTCAAGCAAGGAAAACATACTTTTCTCTTCCTCTCTTTACCCATGTGACAAGGGTATGTCTCCGTCACAGACCAAAGAAAATACAAATATATATATTTTAAAATCCCTTCCAGTGAGAGGAATTCACTATGCTTAGTGCAATTAACTGTGAGTCTTCTGACAGCACTCCTTCTGGAACAGAAACTCGAGAGAAGAAATTCAGCTACCTTCATGTCTATATCTAATTATATAAACCTGAGGGGCAGAAGATCGGCTTTCCACCAAAGAACCAAATGGAAAATATCAGAACAAAGATCTTCTGCCCAAATCCACAAATCACTAGTCATGTGCCTCTCGAGGATTCTCCCTCACAGTACCACGTGCCTCACAGACACAGAAAACTTCTACAACCAAGCAGAACAACAATTATGAAACATAAATACAAAAAACCCACAAAAGATTTCTCACAGAGGGATAAATGGAATCAGACATTCACGGCTAACAGATTTTGCCCAATGAAACCAATTCTTGGCAACTTGAGGGAATCCCCTCAACCCAGCTGTCTCTCCTCCTCACCCCTGTCTCAGGGATCCACTTTACAGCAAGGGCTCTTAGGTGGACAAAACCATGGACAACTATGCTCTGCTCCCTTTCCCTACCCTCCAGAAGGTAGAACAAGAGCTATGTTAGAGATGAGAAAAATCAGAGAGGAAAGACCAGGATTCTAGCACCATGGGTGATCTTACACCAGGGATTCCATGCATTTGTTTTCGGTTTCCCTATGTGCCATTTGAGTCCTTGGTGCTGATGACACCACAGTGGTTTCTCTCCTGAGTCTGCTGGGCTGAGCGCACCTATTTTCCAGAGAGGAGAGAAGCCCTTTAGCGGCAGTGACCAAGCTGCCAGAGTCTGGTCTGAGACCGGCTAGACTTTTCGGCTGCCCCCTGCCCCACTCTGCACCCACCATGCTCCTTCCTCTTCAGAATCTGCATGGAGAGTAACAGACTACGGCCAACACGGAAGAGGTACTCTGCTTAGCAGCAGCTATCAAGAGCTTGTAAGAGAAAATGCCTCCTTATTCTGTGGATCATTCCCTCCCTGGATAACAGAGTGGGAAGTGAGGTTTCTGTGTATGAATTGACCCGGACCCATGACAGAAGGAGGGGACTAAGGTCCCCATGGGAGTCAGTGCTGGTGGGCTGCTGCAGAAAGCTGAGGTCAAGGTGAGGCAGTAATGCTCCTGGATCAAGGGCTCTCTGTCTTTGTCCCTGACTTCAGGAGGGATGGACTTATCTGCAACCCCGGGTGAGGACAGGACAGTGGGACATAAATACGTAAGGGGCTTCACAAGCTAAGCTTGACCACAAGTTACCTGTGAAAGGACACAAGGCAGGCCCCCGATGGCCAAGGATGCCCGCCATGACTCCAGGAGTCTCCATCGACAGTTCCTCCGTAGAGTCACAAAGCCAAGGCTATAGTCCCATTCTCTCAGGCTGAAATTCGGTCTGCAATCCCATGTCTGGGCATGCTACCAAAAGAATCGATAGCAGGGACTCAAACAGATATTTGTGCACCCATGCTCATAGCTGCATTATTCACAACAGCCGAAAGGTGGGAACGACCCGGATATGCATCAGTGGATGAATGGATAAACAAAATGTGGCCTATCCATATAATGGACTATTATTAGCCATACAAGAGAATGGAATTCTGGCACCTGCTACAACATGGATGAACCCTGAAGACATGACACGAAATGAAATAGGTCAGAATCAAAAGGACAAATACTGTACGATTCCACTTATACTATGAAGTACCCAGCGTGGTCAAATGCATACGTAGAAAGAGGAATGGTGGTTGCCAGATTTGGGGGAGCAGAGAATGGGGAGTCAGTGTTTAATGGGGACAGGGTTTCTATTTGGGAAGATAAACATCTGCAGATGGCTGGTGGTGATGGTTACACAAGAGTGTGAATTGACTTAATGCCACTGAACTACATGCTTACAAATGGTTAAAGGGATACATTTTATATTATGTATGTTTTACCATAAGAAAAAATTAAAAGTCTGCCTGGTTCTACTCACTGTCATTACCTGGGGATGGACGCGCTGAAAAAATTCAATAAATCTTTTCTCTCACTACCTTCCTGAAGGAAAAAGAAATGAGTAACAGCAGGGGTTGTATACCACTTGGCACTCACAAAGCACTTTGGTGCTTATCAACTAGTCCAATTCTTGCCGCAACCCCAGAAAGTGTACAGGGCGTGTGACTGTCACCTCCGTTTTGCAGATAAAGAAGCCGGGGCTCAGTCATGCAGGTAGTAAGGTTCAGAAAAGGAAGTTTAGGTTTCCTAACCCCTCTGAGATCCTTTCCCACACACTATGCTGCGCTGAAGCATGCTGTTGGCAGGGAGCCTGGGCTCTCAAACACGGAAGGTGACAGCGGTGGAGGGTCACTGTGCCTCTGGGTGAGCTGCCAACCCTCCCCAAGCATTCAAATCCACTTCCTCGCCTCCTTATTTAGCCAAACAATGTGCATTTACCTTCTTCAAGCTTTCCAAAGATAAAGCTCTCTGGTCTTCTTGAGCGATACAAGATTAGCATAAATTGTTATTGTTCCTGCCATAAGCAGAAATCACTTGAAGACACTTCCCCCCATTGCAGGAAAGCTAATTAAAAACATCAGAAGCAGAAACACATGAATGAAGAGTTTGGGCACTTTCAATGTAATTACACAACAAAGAGAAGTGTGTCTGGGCTGGAGCAGGGCGGGGTGGGGAGGGGGAAGGAGAGAGGGGGAGGCAGGCTGGGAGGAGGCTGGTGGCAGGAAGGAAGATGACAAGAACAATGATCTGAGAGTCCATAAAGGTTTCAGACAACCCAATGAAATAAATTCCTAGAAACACAAGTAGGGACAGAGAGTTACAGAGTTTTAGAAATACAGAGGTCAAAGGAGGTTGCTCTCCATCAGCTGCCCATTTAAAATGGAACGGTAGAGACTTCCAGCCAGACTGTGCGCACCTGCGTCTTGGAATGTGGTCTGCTTCTGCCTGGCACCCAGGGACCCCCCCCCCTCCACCTCTCTGCAATCTGACTCCCCCTACCCCAACCACCACCATTTGCCTGGAACCAGGTGGTCTGGGCCCTGGGGGAAGGGCCATCTCCCAACAGCTCAACCCAATGGCTCCTTCTTGCTGCTCATCCTACTGGTCTCTTGTGTGGCCTCCTTCCTAAAACTCACTTCTTCTTGGATCTACAACACAGTTCTCACCTTCTACCTCCCGTCCATTGTGTCTCCACCTCCACCTGCTCCTCTTCCCCCCATCAAACATCAGTGCTCCCCCAGGCTGCATCCTCAGCTCTCCCTTCATCCTATTCCGCACCTGCCCCCTGGAAAATCAGTTGTATCCAGTTTCCAAACCCCATCTCCTCATGGCCCCCTAACCTTCATCTAAATTTTAATCTCATTCATGTGCAATCTCATCTTTCCAGCTGCTTACGAGGGCCTTCTGGCTGAATGTCCCGACCAGCCTCTGAAGAGCCCCATAAACAAGTAAAAAACAGTATTTTTTTATTAATTTTTTTTACATTTTATTTTATTATGTTATGTGGCTAAAATTAACAAGTCAGGAAACGACAGATGTTGGCGAGGATGCGGAGAAAGGGGAACCCTCCTACACTGTTGGTGGGAATGCAAGCTGGTGCAGCCACTCTGGAAAACAGTATGGAGGTTCCTCAAACAGTTGAAAATAGAGCTACCCTACGACCCAGCAATTGCACTACTGGGTATTTATCCCAAAGATACAAATGTAGGGATCCGAAGGGGTACGTGCACCCCAATGCTTATAGCAGCAATGTCCACAATAGCCAAACTATGAAAAGAGCCCAGATGTCCATCAACAGAGGAATGGATAA